TCCAGCAAATCTCTCCACATCCCTCCGGCTAAAAATAACCTCAAAATACATTAAAGCCACCAGCAACACACTACTCACACCAAAGAGGTCAGATACACACAGACTCGAATCACCACAGGTCAACATCAACAGTTTGAATTGACTTTGTATTATCGATACCTTTTCTCTGACAAATCTAAGTCACCTAAGTCATATTCCTATTTACAGTATACAGTGGGCCAAATCTGTTAAGATATTCTAAGCTTGTAATCTCTGTTGCGGAGATGCCAGAAACGTGACCTTAACTGAAACAACAATTTCCGTTGAAATCTCAATGCCTGCTTTTCAAATCCCATGAGTTATATCATGGCTATACATGTGATCAAAGACACAATGGAGAAAATCTGAAGGATTATAATCACACATGCTCTGAATGACAATGAAACTCTTAAGTCTGGCTGGACTGGTATATCTGAATGTACACTACCTGATAAAAATCTTGTCGCTTATTCAAGTTTTAGGAACAACAAATAATAACTTCTAGTTGATCATTTGATGTCAAAGGTGGCTCATATGAAAGGCAAATGCATCTAGATTACACTTATTCATTTTATTAAAATCAAATATAATCAAGCCTTGATTTTTAATGATTTAATTAGGACAGGAAGGTCTGATTTTGCTTAGACAAAAGTCTTGTCACTTAACAGAAATAATGTACAATATAGAATATAAAGTCATGCTGCAGTGGGAAAATAATTAATATTGTGCATGACTCCCATGAGCTTGTACGACTGCATCCATACATCTCTCCAATGACTCAAATCACTTATTAATAAAGACATCTGGAGGGGCAAAGAAAGCGTTCTTACAGGACTCCCAGAGTTCATCGAGAATCTTTGGATTCATCTTCAATGCCTCCTCCATATTATCCCAGACATGCTCAATAATGTTTATATCTGGTGACTGGGCAGGCCAATCCTGGAGCACCTTGACCTTCTTTGCTTTCAGGAGTTTTGATGTGGAGGCTGAAGTATGAGAAGGAGCGCTATCCTGCTGAGGAAACTGCCCTCTCCTGTGGTTTGTAATGTAATGGGCAGCAAAAATGTCTTGATACCTCAGGCTGTTGATGTTGCCATGCACTCTGCAGATTTCTCGCATTCCCCCATACTGAGTGTAACCCCAAACCATGATTTTTTTTCTTCACCAAACTTGACTGAATCTGAGAATCTTGGGTCCATGTGGGTAGTAAGTCTTCTGCAGTATTTGTGTGTCACGGTTTATGGATCTGTGTGTTCCTCCTGTATGTTATGTATCATGCCTTGTGTGTTGTCATGTGTGAGGGTGTGTTTGTTTACCTTTTGTGTTGACAGCGTGCTAGGATCAGCTGACTTATCATCCTCCAGCTGAACCTCAGTTGGCTGGCTATATAATTCCTCCTGTGGTATGTGCTGGTTATCAGTCCATTTGTTGTCCTTGTTCCTGACTGTTGTCTCCCAGTATCCTCCACTGTCTGTTTGATGTCTTCGTTGTGGTCTGTGGCTCTCTTTTGTTTGAACTTTTGTGTGTCCCCTGTTCATTAAAATACTCGCATCTGGATTCTCCTTGTCTAAGAGTCGTGACATTGTGATGATTGGGATGCAGCTCAACAGATGATTCATCAGAAAATCGACCTTCTGCCACTTTCCCAAATGATCAACTAGAAGTCAAGCTATTATTTGATGCTCTTACAACTCGATGACAAGACTTTTGTTAGGTAGTGTATATAAGCAGCCTTTGCTGCATCTAATGTCTCGATTTGTTTGGCTTTACCCCATTATTAAATCAGAAACGCACAATGTTTTTGTGTTTGTTGTGAAAGGAATCTGCTTGTAGCCTATGTCATTTCTTATCCAGAGGGAAATGTACAATTTTTAGAGGACAATTTCAGAATAGCAAAACAGGCATCTAAATTACAGATCTGGAACACAAACACACGAGTAGTCAAACTTTGCTACTGTCTTCCGAAACATATGTTTCTAATCATCCCTGGGTGTTTACGCTCTGTGCCCAAAGCTCCTTCCAAATAAAAAGCACGGAAGAGCGTGGAAATGCTGTGACAGACAGAGAGGAATCAAAATGAAGGGATTTAGAGTCTTAAGAGTGATAACAGCCTCATTTCAGTGTCTCACGCACATTATACAAGCAGATAGTTTCTCACAGCTCTGCAATTACTGCTTTAGCTGTACAATTACTGCTAACAACAACAGCTGCCATCGGCTACAACAAACACACATGACTGCGCACAAAACTGAGAGATAACGGGGATGGCATGATAAGCAAAGTTGTAGTTTACAGAATGTTAAATAGCAAAAATGTAGATCAATTTTTTCATCTAAGGTTCATATAGAGTCATTTAACATATAAAACATGAAGCACTGATACAAAAAAAGGCAATAAAAAAAGCTCAATCCTACACCCTGCATACTCAGGGTTACATCAGAATGAGCCAAAGCTGTATGTCTCCATCTAGTGGACTATTTCCTACAGCGTATTTGCATTTACCGGCCACTTTATTAGGTACACCTAACTAGTACCGGGTTGGACCCCTTTTGCCTTTAGAACTGCCTTAATCCTTCGTGGCATAGATTCAACAAGGTACTGGAAATATTCCTCAGAGATTTTGGTCCATATTGACATGATAGCATCACGCAGTAGCTGCAGATTTGTCGGCTGCACATCCATGATGCGAATCTCCTGTTCCACCACAGCCCAAAGGTGCTCTATTGGATTGAGCTCTGGTGACTGTGGAGGTCATTTGAGTACAGTGAACTCATTGTCATGTTCAAGAAACCAGTCTGACATGATTTACGCTTTATGACAAGGTGCGTTATCCTGCTGGAAGTAGCCATCAGAAGATGAGTACACTGTGGTCATAAAGGTATGGTCAGCAATACTCAGGACAGGTAGGCTGTGACGTTGACACGATAATCAATTGGTACTAATGGGCCCAAAGTGTGCCAAGAAAATATCCCCCACACTATTACACCACCACCACCAGCCTGAACTCTTGATTCAAGGCAGGATGGATCCATGCTTTCATGCTATTGATGCCAAATTCTGACCCTACCATATGAATGTTGCTGCAGAAATCGAGACTCATCAGACCAGGCAACGTTTATCCAATCTTCTATTGTCCAATTTTGGTGAGTCTGTGTGGACTGTAGCCTCAGTTTCCTGTTCTTAGCTGACAGGAGTGGCACCCGGTGTGGTCTTCTGCTGCTGTAGCCCATCTGCCTCAAGGTTGGACATGTTGTGTTCAGCGATGCTCTTCTGCATTCCTCGGTTGTAGATTTTGGCTATCTGAGTTACTGTTGCCTTTCTATCAGCTCAAATATATATATATAAATTTATACAACAGCTCTGTCTGGTTCTCAAAACTGATTGGTTGATAGCCGTGTATATTCTGCAATATCAGAACTCCTACAGCCTCTTTACCCTTTGTGTATTACTCCGCCCACATACAGCAAAAAGCAGACATTACAGATCTAAAGTTTAAAAGATGCACGCTCAACTGTTTAACTGTCAGCTTATGATTTAAATCCAGAAGAAAGTAGTTCCTCACACAAAAGGGTTTTTGAGACTCTCCATGTTTGATTTTGTTTTTATATACACAATTATGCCGTCAAACTGTTGTATAAAAACAATATTACACTCGTAGCAGTGCGATATAGCTGTATATCGGCACTGGTGGGGACACCCATATCGCACTACTACGAGTGTGATATTGCTCATATATATATATCACCAGGTGAATATTTTCATTTTTGGGCCATTCTCTGTAAACACTAGAGATGGTTGTGCATGAAAATCCCAGGAGATTAGTAGATTGGCTGATTAGAAATTTGCGTTAACGAGCAGTTGGACACGTGTACCTAATAAAGTGGCCGGTGAGTAAATAAATATCTAGTTTCGCTATACGTTGTAATTATTGGATAGAACCATCTATATAACATAAATATAAATGTTTGATTTCTGTGTTTGACAAAAAATTTGATTTTTGATTTTTTTTTTTTTTTTACAAATTTAAAGAGAAATGTCTTTTAGTGCATTGCATAAGTTTTTTAGACATGTTTATATATTTTTGACAATACAATGCCAATGTTTCAACAGTATAATCTTGAATGAAAACATTTGTTATTGTGTAATTTTCTGGAAAAAGAAGTCTAAATTATATAATTAAATGTTTTATTTGAAATTAAAAAGAAATGCTATCAGACGTTGATAGAATTAAAAAAATATTAACATTTTATTCAGACCCATACATAACAAATTCTGAGTATTGTCAAGTGGTTTCTTTTTTATTCCTTATTTGTTAGTGTGTGTCTGAAATATTATCTATAATCTACCACACTTTTTTCTGTTAGCCTACTCTCAGCAAAATATTTGAAGTAAATGTGTGTCTGTAACTGTGTCAGTGAAAACACGGCTTTAAGCCAGGGCATCAGTGAATCATTTGTGCAGTCAAAGAAGCAGAAAATGACCGACTTTAATCAATTGTTCCACATTTTAAACTCAATCAGTGACGTCGTGAAAGAGGGCGTGGGACGCGCAAATTTCCAGCCCTGCTGAGAATGAACGGGGGAAGGATCAGGAAGAATCGACTCAGTTTGTTTTGATTCGGTAAAGATTCAGTTCGTTTTAAACCGTTCAACACCAAAAGTTCTCTCGGAAGTAGTGAATTTAGTTTTCCTTTTATTTTATAGATTGTTTGCTAATTTTCAACTTGGTCGACAATTTTATTAGGACTATTTGTCGCTGCAATGTTGAGTAACACGAAGCAATAGTAGCACCGTTAAAGTAAATCTTAAACACAGTATTACTACAGCGACTTGTGATACGCAAACGTCCATACATAAAATTCACTTGGTCAAATAATACACTTGAGTGAATTGGGAATCGGTTCGACCGAATCATTCCAAGGAATCATCTCAGTTGAACGATTCGTCTGGAAACTGTACATCACTAGCAGTTTTCCTCCCTTTGCTCAGCCAGTCTCTCCATCTCTGATTTTGTGTTTGCCGCGTCGTCAATCATTCACCGTTAAACAAAGGTAGGTTTATGGACATTTTGCTATTTAAACTTTGCTATGTTTCTGCTTTGGTATATTTAAAATAAGTATGTGTGCTGTTTGTCGGTGCTGTCAGAAGGTCTGCTTTGTGAAGACTCAGCGGTGAGATGCCACGTCAGTAGTGAAAATTCTAACGTTTTTACATTTCGGCATGTTTTGTCACGGTGTAATGTGTTTAAAGTAAATTACAGTGCAATTATATTCTAAACCTCCTTTTAGGAGTGTGGTCGTCAGATTAGACCCATGTTCAGTGCACTTCATTAGTTGGAAGAAGGTGTGGCTGAGTTAAAAAATAGTTCTTTATTTGCATATTTACTTATAATATAAATAACACGCATAGTTAGAATAACGCGACGATTTTTAGGTGGATGTCTTGCGTATGCTAAATTAAAACAGCCCTTTGTCTAATTAATCACATAAATGGCCATGAAGGTTGTATTCCCAATTGCTGGCCAATAAAACCACAAGAAGCGGACATTATGCTCTCATGTCTAACATGGTTAAAATGCTATTTGTTTTGCACTGAAAGTACAAGTAAGAAGCACATTTATTTTTTGAGTAGTTCACTTGGCGTGCCTTTCACAGACATGCGGCAGATTACTGCAGTAAAGTAGAAAAAGTAAAAAGAAGTTTTGTTTCATATGGAATACACTAAAACTTAAATTTGAGGCTCATATGTCCAAAAGTTGAGCTTTCAATATTTTCATTTTCATCTTCATTCCATCCATCTATATGTCAGTAATTTTCTCTGTCTGTCCATCTCTATCTGTCAACCTATTTATGTTAATAAAACGTTTTGGTGTAAACTGACTGAACAGTAACAGAGGGTTAATTTAGCTGGAAAATAAAATGTAAAAAAAAAATTATATTATGTAATTTGTTGTTCCTGCTAACCCCATTTCCTGTGGGCCATTTTCTTTTTCAAGTTCTTTCCACTATGATGTTTAATGAACAAGAATGTTTTAGCCCGACATAGTCTGCTATATTCAAATATGTTTATATTTGTGTGATCTCTCTATTGCAAGGGAGCAGAATGGGAGCAAAGCTCAGTCGAAAGAAGAGTGAAGCTGGGATTGGAGCAGAGACAGCAGATCCAGCTGTGGCAGAGACTGAAACAGCAGACGGGACTGAGAACCAAGAGCAGAAATGTTGTGAAGGGAACAAGCCTGAAGAAGAGAAGCCTGAGTCCTCAACCAACGTCCTGGACAGCATTACACAAGCTGTAGGAGAAACAGTGAACGCAGTCACTGAACAGATTGCTGCACCGGTGGAAGATGTGGTAAACAAAGGCATTGAAGCAGTGGAGTCTGCATTGGCATCCGTCAGTCTGATCGGGAAGGAATCTGCAGAGCAAGACCCCGAGCAGAAGTCTGATCCTGCTTCTTCTGATGTTGAACCCAGCCTTTTGGATGACCTGCTGAAATCTCCAATCTCAGAAGCCCTCATTTCTGGAGTCGCAGTGGTGAGTGAAGCCATGACCGGTGAGACGGTGGAAGACAAAAGTAGTAATCCTGCACCAGCAGAGAAGGAATGTCTGGATAAGGTGGAGACGCCCTCATTGGACCTCATGGACTGTAAACTGACTCATGAAACCACACTCCCTGACTCGGATCCCTCATTCACTTTGGAGGATATGGGACAGAAAGCAGTAGACACAGTCAACCTCATATAAACCACTATACTCTCCTTTAGAAGACAGCAGCGGCTGAAAGGTCATTAGACGCATGTGTATCACAACATTATTAAAGAAAATGAACAGTCATGTTTTCCCCCCAAGGATTTAGAATTGAAACAGGATTGTGTGATTCAGAATTTAACTTGGGTAGCAAACTGGATGAAGAATACATTTTTTTAAATGCATAATGAAATTAATAAATTAACCAATAGTTGTATAAATAAAATCAAAAGTTAAGAAAAACTTTGAAAGTTAGCCTTGTTCTTTAAAGAGAATGTTCACCTAAAATTCTAAATTACCTCATTTATTCTCCATCATTACGAGTTTTTTTCTTCTGTTGAACACAAAAGATGACATTTTGAAGATTGCTGTTGTTGTTGGCACCAATTGACTACGATAGTAGGAAAATACACATACTAATGGAAGTCAATGGGTCCCCCAGCATTCTTCAAATATCTTCTTTTGTGTTCAACACCGAAAATGAACTCAAGTTGGTAATATCCCAGCAAACAAATTTGTGTCTAATAGACATCTAAACGTAGACAGCTCGGCTAAAACAAGGTTAAACTTAGGCTGTCAGTGAAAATCTAATAGACATCTAAGAATAGCCCAAAACTAGACATCAAATAAACAGATTAGACAGACTTTATATGAGTAGTCATTCATTTCTGTTTATTTGATGACTCCTAGACGTCTATTAGATTTTCACTGACAGCCCAAATTTAGCATTGTTTTAGCCAAGATGACTATGTTTAGACGTCTATTAGACATCATTTAAAGACCAAAAATGTTTGCAGGGATGATAGCAGAATTCATTTTTTGGTGAACTATCCCTTGTGAATTTTACACAAGCCTGCCATAAAAACCCTTTAAGTTGCATGTAAACCCTATTAGGTATACAAACCAGCTATGTCAGATCTAATGAGCATTCCTAATGTTATTCCTACCAATTTGATGTCAAGCAGTAAACCAGCCGTCTGATATCTTTTTCTTCTTCTTGATGGTCTGTATTCTTCCAAGCTGATTGTGTATGAGCGGTCCAGCCAGTCTCCCATAGGAGAAATGGAAAAGAATGTACATTAAAACAATGATTGTAGTAAATGAAAATAAAGACTTCAACAACTCACAATTGACATTCTTCCTTGATCTGTATTTTATACAACCACCCTCCAAAAAATCAAAAAACGGTATGCATTCCTACAGAATCTCTTTATAACTTTTGAACAAAACATCAAGGATATTGAAAATAAGTTGACACACTACTGCAATGGTGTTTGAAATCATTTGGAGTGCAGACAAAACACAACATAAAAGTGTATGAACTAACCCAATACGCAGGAGCTTCCTGGGAAGTTTCTGGGAAGATAACATGCCCCATCTCAAGAGTTTTCTCAGAGAGGTTTCTGGGGAGAGGGGGGCAACATTCTTTCCAGAGAAAAGGGGTCCCGTGGGACATTAGTATTTTTTTTGAGGTTAACTTTCTGGCTCTTATCCTAAGAAACTTTGGGTTTATGTAAACAAACATCTTTTCACTGTGTTTATTGTACTGAATGTGTAGCGAAGTTTGATGAAATATTAAGCTGCTTCCGTTTGTAGGAATCTAAAGGAAATGCCATGCCTCATTATCTTTGTGTAACAGAGCTTTGTGTACTTCAGCCATAAGAGGAATGAATTTAGATGACAGGAGCAATGGGAACGCATCACTGCTCAGCTTTATACAAATATACATACAGTATAGACTCCCATGCAAATTAAGTAGATTTGACTGAAAACAAATAGATATGTGTGACCAGTTCTGCATTCCATTTCCAATAAACAACGGAAAAATACCAAATTTAAGAAGAAACTAAATATTTTTTCTCCTTTTTTTACATTACTCTTTTTTTTTTTTTCTAACAAATAACCTTGTTATACACAAAACTATACAGTCTGAAAACAAAAATATCCAATAACATAACGTCCTTTCTTGAGTCGGTGATGTTTATAAGGCCTTTGCAACAGACAGATCCACACCCTGGGCTTTGGCTTTCTGTCAGTAAAAGAGAGAGAGAAAAAAACGAATTAGGATTCTGAGAGGACACTATTGGGGAAATGAAACAGGAAGCAAGAATATGTTACAGTATGTGCTCTGCTTTCCATGATAAAGCTTAGATACAAACAAAGTCTCGAAGGTACTGGCATTGCAAATTGGCTAAAATCCGATGTTTCTAGATTTTTATTGAGCCATGTCTTGTTAGTCATTTTGAACTGAAAAGACACCAAGGACAGATTGTGTTATGTAATAGTATGACAGCCACATACAAAAGAAGTCAGTTTCTTTAGCATTTTCTTTTAATGAACACATGTTTGGAGCCCACTATCACTGGATCTATTTATCTATTTTAATATTTATGTTTTATACTATTTCAAACATGAAAGTATTTGGAGAGTACAGATAAATAAATGCATATATGTTGTTGAAGTCACACTTTACATTTTAACTGTCACACATCACAAAAAAATATAATTAATATTGACATGATATAATTTAAAAAGCAGTAAACGGTTAAGCATTTCTTTGTCTTTCACGGACCTCTTGCTATAAAAACAGCTGTTATTACATTTGAACCAATGTTGCTCCTATCTCAAGCATCAATAAATTACCCTTCTCATAAATTAAAAACAATCGGAATCGTAAAATTAGACCTGAGGTATTTATTAATAATTTTATAAGAGGCTATTTGTAAGTGGCAATCATCCATTTTATATATATGAAAACCATGCCCTCTGATGTGACACTAAATGCTAATTTTAATTCCACTGAACAAATTTTTATTTGTTAAAAGGACCCCAATTCAAGATCATGTGACGGAGGCCCCCTGTGAAGCCGATGGTATACACTGGCCACTTTATTAGGTACACCTTACTAGTATCCCCTTTAGAACTGCTTAAATCCCTCATGATATAGATTCAACAAGGTACTGGAAATATTCCTCAGAGATTTTGGTCCATATTGACATTATAGTATCCCGCAGTTGATGCAGATTTTTCTACTGCACATCCATGATGCAAATCTTCCATTCCATCACATCCCAAAGGTGCTCTATTGTATTGAAATATGGTGACTGTGGAGGCAGTTTGAGTGCAGTGAACTCATTGTCATGTTTAAGAAACAAGACTGTGATGATTAACGCTTTATGACATGGCGTGTTGTCCTGCTGGAAGTAGCCATTAGAAGATGGGTACACTGTGGTCTTAAAGGGATGAACATGGTCAGCAACAAATTAGGTAGGCTGTGGCATTGACACAATGCTCACTTGTTACTAAATGGGCCCAAAGTGTGCCAAGAAAATATCCCCTACTCCATTACACCACCACCAGCTTGAACTGTTTACACAAGGCAGGATAGATCCATGCTTTCATGTTGTTGATGCCAAATTCTGACCCTACCATCCGAATGTCGCAGAAGAAATCGAGACTTATCGGACCAGGCAACGTTTTTCCAATCTTCATTCATTCATTATCTTGTCGGCTTAGTCCCTTTATTAATCCGGGGTCGCCACAGGGGAATGAACCGCCAACTTATCCAGCAAGTTTTTACATAGCGGATGCCCTTCCAGCTACATTCCTTATAGCTGCTCTCACTCTAGAGTTAGTGTGTGCGAATTCTGTCGTACGGTGCTGCGAAACAGGCGGGATAAAACAAGATTATTAGACATTTAAAAAAAAGCGAGCGATTGCTGCATGCATGCATTTCTGTCCAGAAAGGTCATGTTTTGATCATTGATTGGTCTCACGCAATCAAGTGATGCAATTGCGCAGGTCAGAGTTCACCAAGCTTGATTTTTGCACTGCAGCGAACTGCGAATGTGTGCTTTCGCAATAGATTATAATAGTTGTTCGGCAATAAGAAATGTACAGAGTTTACATTACATATAATTCTTCAATATTGGGAGCAGGACAAAATATGTTGATTTATTGTGAATAATTATTGCGATACATTATTGATGTAGCCAAGTATTGATTACTTATTTAACTTTTACTGTATCTCTGATCTTATTTTTTATGCTTGCAATTTATTTGATTTACAACTCTACAAGATTATACCAATCAAGGTTAATGATTTCATTCCTAATAGAGCTATTTAAGTCATCTGCTGAAATAGTGCAGCCCTAATATATATATATATATATATATATATATATATATATATATATATATATATATATATATATATATATATATATAAACAAAAAAAATACCAATGAAAGTGAGAAGGATATGTTGCAAAACAAATGGAACTATTAATGTAACTATTAATATTATTGTAAAATAAGTCTCGAGAGTGTGAATGTGACCACACAAATAATGTTTAAAACTCTTTGAAACTACTCCATTTAGCCTTAGACCATAATTATGCCATTATGGTGGCCATCACTTTAAATTTAAATGAGATTGTGCCCCCAGCCTTTTTAAAAGAGGGTGGAGCTACAAATGCCGATGTGTCAGCATAGTGGCAGATTCAAAAACAAGGAGTGCAATATTAAAAGACAAAATAAAAACATTTTTACAATTAGAAGCTGGATATATTTACAGACTGTTGTCACACAACTGTGTTTAAACCCCTTTTAAATGTGATTTTTGCATAACAGTTCCCCTTTAATAGCCCTATAAAGTTTATGCAAAATATACCCATCTTAAAATCGTAAGTAAGCATCAGGAGACCTGCATGTGGTAGAACTTCTTGGCCAGGTCTACATTGGTGCGCCCGGGGTGGAAGGGATACTTCCAGAGGATGGTGTTCCAGGAGTGACCAAACCTCTTCACACCCTTGGTGAGATAGCACAGCTCTTTATCAGACCAGTTCTGCCTCTTTCTGTGTCTGCCAGAAGACTAAAGAAGAAAACCATTAAAGATAATGAAAGTTATTTCAGAGGAAGAACAAGTTATTGGATTGACATTTGCATTTTCTTTGATTCTGTAATAAAAAAAAAAAACATCTGGAAATAGCAAGACTGACTGAGAGAACCTAAAAACGCTTCACATGAGATCGTTGTAATCGTGAAATCAGTTATGAATAGTACTATACATTTTTGGAGCGAGTGTCTTCTGAGCTTTTCTTGAGATGTCTGTGTTCCGTCCACTGTTTCATGTCGGGGCCTGAAAGAAAATGCAGGATAAGGGGGAAAGGAAGTGGAATTAATGAACCAAACTATACTAAATGTGTCCATGCTGGCAAAAGCAATACAAATGGTTAGACTTGCACAGGGAAGCGAGGAGGTACATTGATCTTTAGAATGATTTAGTGGGCAGTGTAAAAGTGCATATGCTTTATAGAACCCAGTACTCTAGTATGCCACAGTATAAATACCATAATCAAGTATGCCATCTTCTCTACACATATGCTCTTTTATGACATTCTTACTCAATATGATAGCTTCAAATAGAAATGCCAGTAAACTATAATTATATTTCACAATTTACAAAATTACAATTAACAATTATATTTTACATTTACATTTTAGAAATAGAAAGCAGTTGACTGGTCAATATTTGATACCTGAAGTATGAGATGACGTGAAAAAAAAACATCAATCTATTTAGGTGGACGTGACAAACCACAAGCTTTGGATGTTTACATGAGTTTTATATCTTCTAAAAGCAAATTGTTATGGTTTTGGAGCACACTAGCTTAAAAATATCCTTAAAACTAACATACTAGGGGTGTAACAGATCTCAGTTCATCTGTGATTCGTATGGATCACAACTCATGGTTTGAAACACATGTGACCTGCAGATTAATACATTTTTTTACTTGTAAATTAATTCTAAATTTGTAACAAATCTCAGAGAGAGATCGCCTCTCACATCATTCAAATCACATGTATGAAAGCATTTAGAATTTTCTGTAAAATGGAATGATGATGGGAGTAGTTGTGGTAGGTTATTCGGGATGTGGTGGGTTTCTTAGGTTATTAAAGGTGTTTTCTGTCACTACTTGTTTAACCTACATTAATGCATTCAGTGTAAGCTGCACGATAAATCATTGAAAGATCAGGATCTCAACACCCACACAACATACATAATAAATGATGGGTTATTTGCATATGTTTATTAATCCTTCGAATCGCTGCATTCAAATCTGTTTGAAAAACGTAAAATCAAGAAAGAGATTCAGTCTTTAGTCTTCTGAGTTAGTTATGAAGTTACAGTCAAATAACACAGGAGTACTGGGAGAACAGTTTATAGTTTAGATATAACCACTGATGTTTATGGGAAAGATTAAAATCACTGTCAAATGCATTTAAGTTGATGCTCAAAAATAAAAGTTGTAGGTAGCAATTACATTATTTAACCAGGTGGCCATCAACCAGCAATCAAAAATATGCCACTAGATAATTCTTCAAAAATGACACATCTAGCAATGAAAGATGAAGTTTAATGAGTGAATAACTGAATCATTTATTGAAAATGAGACTAAAAATAAATATGTGTTGTACAAATTATAATGCTAGATTTATACATTTGGCCTTATCAGCAACAGCTGTAGTGACAGTGAATTTTTCACAGCACTGAATATTATATAATTTATTAATATTATTTTTAATAAAATTACAGGTTCTAAGTTCTGTTTGTTAAAACCAAAAGTTTCTTGAAGTACTGTTTTGTGATAGAGGGCAAGCAAATTACATTTGTCTCCTCCCTTTTTTGGCTGATCCGAAAAATGGTCCGATCAGAGACTAAAAAACATCAAGTGATCCAAACTGTGAGATTTGTGATTCGTTAGACCACAGTAACATACTGACACTAACACCTAAAAACCTTTTTTTTTTTTTTTCACATGACCTTTAAGAAACACATAAAATTTGAATTAGTAACTACTCATGAGGGACTATGAAATGCTTGATTTTTAAGTGATGCATAATAGCTGCTAAACTGTAAACGGCTCATTTTATTTGAACAAGATAATGCATTAGTGCCACCTTCACGATTGTAAAACAGCTAAGAAAAAAACCTTTTAGTTGGGGTTGACTCACCCTTTCCGGGCTTGAATTGTGATAATGACTGGATAACGGTACGTTACCATTTACTTGACAATTACACTAAGAACATCTCTAGAAAGTCCAGTGAAAAAGTCTTGTGGTTTTGGGAAAGAAGCCATATAGGAACAACTGTACAGCACTCAGAGACCACAACTCGGCAATGGAGAGAATGGAATGAGTGAGACTGAGGGTAAAAGGAGGACACGAAAGGAAAAAAAAATGAGAGTAAAGATGGAAAGACATTTCAACACCATGGACAAAAGTGAAAAGCACAGTCCTGTGTCTTGTGTTATGAAACAGTAACTTATTCAATATTATATCCCAGTTCTTTGCACGCACATGCACCATTTATCAAACTTATATTGCAGATGTTTATAATGGCACAGGTACTATGAATGTTTCCCTCTTTACCTCTAAATCCCACTGTCTTCTCTATCAAACTCAAAAGACATGTAGGAATTTGTTCTTAGGAACACTTACTGTATGTTTCACGCGGTCTTTTCAGGGGTGTGAGCCTGTAACCTTGACAGAAAAGAATTACTGAGCATTAATAAAATATAAGATGCACTAAAAATGATGCTAATACACAATACTGTTGTTAAACATTGCATACAGCCAAAGACTATAGAATAGACATGACACTTGTATAGTTTTGAATGGGGGATATATGTAAAGGTCTGTATGGTGAATAATGCCCCGCCTTCTAGTAAAGGAGCCAATTGTCAATCAAAATAAACTGACGATTCTTTGAGGAAGAGGCTCTGATCATATGTGTGTTTTTGTGAGAGTTTCTGCAGATTTTTTATGATTCGAACATTTAGGAACAAAGCTAAAGAGACTGTTGTAGTTTAATTTTATTGGTGATTCCAGATATGAAATTTAATCGTCAGCTTGGCAAACAGTTTTGAAGAATTTACTTTTCACCATTCAAACAGAATGCCTGAGAAAGATGGCCGCCAAGTAAAATGACTTGCCTTAAAGTGACATGGGTTGCGGCTGAAATTGCCTACTACTCAGTAGTCAAGTACTGCATTTGAATTTACTACTTGACCTTTAGAAAAGTACGTTCTATACAGTATGAATGCGAGTAGTATAAATAGAACCCGGACATACAACATCTGCCATTTTGTCATGACCACATGACCTACACACATCAGATGCGTCACTTCACTCCCATTCATATACTCTCTTGCGATGCATTATGAGCAGGGCCAGACAGAATCTGTGGACATTTTTTTGCTATTTTTGCAGAGAATTTTGTAAAAAATCTGCGGATTTATGCTGAATTATTTTAGAAGTATCATAAGTAAAAACTTAATATATGAAATTAAAAATAATACCCTTTTAACTTTAATATTTACAAAGCAAATCTAATTAGATCCACTTATTTGATAAACAAAGCAAGTCTCTCATATAATATATATACTAAAACAGAAGATATTACTTCACAAACTATATATTGTAAATAAATCATGAACATTTTAATATTACTATTATCATATCACAAAAATATTAGTAAACCTAATTTAAAAACTGAATAAATATAAAATGTACACATTTACACAAGTAAATACATAGACTCAATGATGAGCTAAAAATATGCAGATTACTGCGCGTGCAGATTCTGCGTGGGCCTAATTATGAGATATTGTAACGTCCATCAGATATGATTTTTTAGAGTCTCGCCGGAAGTAGTAGGTCAACCGTGTACTTTACACGTACTGTTTTTCGAATTCTATGAATTCGGACATACTACTCATTTCCCATACTGTTTTTAGCGTACTATATAGTACGGAAGTATGCGATTTTGAATGCAGCCTTTGTTACTACTAATTGTGCATTAAGGGGGCATCATAATTCCAGACTCTGTCATAAAAAATATAAAATACGATAAAAGAGCAATATATAAAATAATACAGATGAATGCAAAAGACAATATGAAAAATGAAGAATATACAAAAAAAAAAGAAATATTGAAGAATTTCCTAGTATAGATTCCACTTAAATGTCCTGTTGTATTGCTCTTTTTTGTATATTCCTAATTTCTTTTATATTGTGCATTTATCTGTATTATTTTTTTTAGATGTTGCTCTTTTTTGTTGCTAAAAGATCACTAATAGTTAAATTTAAATGTACTACTTGACCGTTAGAAAAGTACATTCTATACAGTATGAATGTGAGTAGTATCAATAGAACTTGAACATACTGCATCCACCATTTATTCATGATCATGTGACCTATACATGCAAGTTGAGTTGCTTCACTACCATTCATATACTCTCTTGCGATGCATTATGAGATAGCGCAGCGCCTATCAGATCCACATTACTGAATTACGCTGGAAGTAGTAGGCCATTCGGATACTTCTCAGAAACTGTTAGTCAAATTCTGTGAATTCGGACATACTACTCGTTTTGCATAATGTTTTTAGCATACTATATAGTATGGAAGTATGCAATTTCAGAAGCAGTCTTTGTTACAACTAATTGTGCAATAAGGGGGCATGATATTTAAAAACTTCAGCATAATTCCACAGTCTATCTGTCATGAATATATTAAATACAATAAAAGAGTAATATATAAAATACAGGTAAATATAAAAGACAATATAAAATAAATTAAGATTATACAAAAAAAATAAATATTTTAGCCTAAAAAAAAAGGATAGTTTTCACTTAAATATCCTGTTGTATTGCTCTTTTTTTGTATATTCCCACTTTTTTATAGTCTATTTAACTGTATTTTTTTTAGATGTTGCTCTTTTTTTATTGTATAATTCTATGGGCACTTATTGCTAAAAGATCACAAATAGTATTATTGTACTACCACGTGGAATGACGCAGGCTGCATCCGAAACCGCCTTTTACTCAGTAGGTAAGTAGTAAGAATAGAACTCGGACATACTACATCTTCTATTTTGACATGATCACGTGACCTACACATATCAGTTGCGTCGCTTTACTCCCATTCATATATTCTCTTGCGATGCATTATGAGATAGCATAGTACCCATCAGATCCACATTTCAGAATCACGCTGGAAGTAGTAGGCCATTTAGGTACTTCTCGGACACTATTTATCAAATTCTATTAATTCAGACATACCACTTGGCTCACGTACTGTTTTTAGCATACTATATAGTATGGAAGTATGCAATTTTAGACACAGCCTTTGTTACTACTAATTGTGCAATAAGGGGCCATGATATCTAAAAAAAAAAAATCATAATTCCACAGTCTGTCATGAAAATATTAAATACAATAAAAGAGTAATATATAAAATACAGATAAATATAAAAGACAATATAAAATAAGAATATACAAAAAAGAAAATCATTTTAGACTTAAAGAAGAGTTTCTAAGTATAGATTGCACTTAAATATCCTGTTGTATTGCTCTTTTTTTTGTATATTCCCAATTTCTTTTATATTGTCTATTTATCTGTATTATTTATTTTAAGATGTTGCTCTTTTTATTGTATAATTCTATGGGCACTTATTGCTAAAGATCACCAATAGTATTATTGTACTATGATGTGGAATGACAGTCTATTGCAGGGGTCATCAATCTCGGTCCTGGAGGGCCAGTGTCCCTGCAGGGTTTAGCTTCAACTTGCCTCAACACACCTGCCTGGGTGTTTCAAGTATACCTAGTAACACCTTGATTAGCTAGTTCAGGTGTGTTTGATTAGGGTTGGGGCTAAAATCTGCTGGACACCGGCCCTCCAGGAACAAGTTTGGTGACCCCTGGTCTACTGTATAAACCATTTTCAAACAGAATATCAGAATATACATTTAATTATAACTCTTTCCCCAACTCACATTGTTGCTTCGTATAAAAGCATCTGCTAAATTACTAAATGCAAATCACGAGGGTGTGTTTGGTTCTCCAGCCCTTGTTCTAGTAAAGCTATTGTGAAAGACGCCGTCTCTTACATCTGTCTGATGATTGGTGACTCAGCTTGTGTTTTTCCCTCTTGCTCTTCTGTTTATGCTCTTGAGCGCTTGTGCTGTGCTCTCTGTTTTTGCGGTGTGTGTTGATGTGAGTGTGTGTTGGAGTGTGGCTAGTCCTCTTTAATGGCTGGCTTCTCCTGAATCGATCCTCTGCCTCTCTCAGCGCCAAGTGAAAGTCACACTGAAATCTGCAGCTACTCAACACAGCGCCAAATGACCGACTGTTCAGCTCATTCATATGTTTCACACAACCTGAGACAGAAAATGTGTGTGTGTGACAGTGTGGAGAAAAAGAAGATAGAAGAACAATGAGAGTGATGAAGAAGCAGAAAGTGGCAGAATGTATTGCTTTTAAAGGGATAGTTCACCCCAAAATTGTATTCATCCTTCACTTGATACCAATCTATTTGAATTTCTTTCTTCTGTTGAACACAAAGGAAGGTATTCTGAAGAATGCTGGTATCTGAAACCCATTGACGTCAATTTTTTCCTACTATGGAAGTCAGTAAGGTCTTCAAAATATATATCACAAAGATTTAAAAGCACATGACGGAGAGTAAATCATGAGCGGTTAGTGTTTATTTTTGAGTGCACTATCCCTTTCATATTTTAAATGTTATTTGTGTGCATGTATACAGACACACACCTGCACAGCGTAGAGTGTTGGACTTCGAAGCAGATGGTGGCTTTAGATACTTGTTGATTTCTTTGTCTAACAGCTCTGTGCATAGAGACATATTATCTGAAAACAGAATTCAGCACAACGCGATTATCTTTAACATCACATGATTACCATAGAAATCATTCTATACAGTAGATGAGGAGGAGTGACGGGTTTAACTGTGACTTCGCACAAAGTGCTAAGTTTGATGTTTTAAGAAAGATTTACCATCTGAGAGAGAGGGTTCGCGCTGGTTTCTCTTCACGGGATCAGGATGTCTGAAAATATCTGGGCTGAAACCCAAGAAAAATAAAATGGAGAGAGAAATGTCACTCCCTTGAGGAGGAAAAATTTACAGACTCTGTCTTGAAAAGTCATCGACATGAAATGCTTTATGTGAATCTGGATTTTATGTGAACATGCTAATCCTGAATAAAACAAGTAAGAATGAAGAAGCAACAGTAATTGGGAATGTCCCTGTTTAACGAGTCCATTCTTTGCGTTCTTCGAATTGAGAAACAGCCAAAGTCTCCTTAACCGAACATACCTGATTCAGACCTTTAACAGAAACTGAAGGTCCCATAATATTTGTGACAGACAAAGGAGATATCCAAAACATGAAGTGTTGGTGGTCCTCCAGGAACGTGGTTGAGAAACACTGTTTTAGGCAGTTTAGTTTCAACCCTAATTAAACACACCTGATCAAACTAATTCAGTCCTTCAGGCTTGTTTGAAACCTACAGGTTAGTGTGTTGGAGCAGGGCTATAATTAAACAGTGCAGGGCTGCGGCCTCCAGAAGAGTTTGACACCCCTGCTTTAGGCTATGATCCTCTGAGCAATGAAGTTTTTTGTGTCTCACACTGCTCTCAATTCGGAAGGGATCATCCCTACGCTCTAATAAGCCCGTAGAATGGAATCTACCCAATGTGTGCATCTAGAAAATCTCACGGTGTGTTTGTTTACCCCTGTGTATCTCTGTTGCCCTCTGTTGGTGTGCTGCAGTTTTGGAGAAGTTCATAACCATCATCATCAGACTCTAGATTCATCATCTTTAATCTCTTCACCACTCTTTCAGACTTCACATTCCTCTTCAGTTCTCTCTTGTTCACTCCTTCTCTCCTTGTTTCCTGGTTGTCACTCCTCTCATTCTCTCTCTTTTGTTTATGCTCTCTCTTTTTGCTCTTTTCCCAGTTAGGGCCTTTGAAAAGGTTGACTTGGACAGGACTCAAACCCTCTTCAGAGCTGTCAGGCTGCTGGTGGTCACATACACAAACACACAATCTTACCTTTAAACGATCTATTAAAGTTGTTGAAACTGGTGTAACATAATGCTCAATGCTTAACATTTACACATTAGATATCAATGTGTGTACATACTTACCAAACTATCCTGGTCTTGCAGTATTTCACTTGTGATTGGAGTTCCTGCAGGAATTGCGCGGAACTCCCCATATACTCGATGATTACCTTTGACCTTTCGCATTACAGAACCCTCCCACAATTCATCATCGCATTCCACATGTGAGTCTGACCTCTTCATGCTGTGCGGTTGGCTTTCGGGGTCTCTTTCCCATAGTTTCTTGCCAATCTGAAAATTAAAAAGCAAAATTTAGTAACTGAATAATTAAATTCAATTCAATTGAAGGACAACAGTGCTGCAAACATTGTGAAATTTCATAACATTCATACACAAATAACCTTTTTTTCGAGCAGCTGTATTCTCTGAAGAATCTGTCCAGCTGATCGCCATTGTCCCTCTCTGTCACATTCATTTGGATCTATAGGGGACATACCTGGGCCTAATGATTCAGCTAGGCAGAGAGGAAAACAAAATCAGTACTAAAGGCTGTTAGATGGGGTCACCTGAAGTTAATAGCATATAATTAGTACTTTAATTAACAGTATGCACCTTCTAAGCTGGGGATAGATACACTAGGTACGTTTACATGACAGGGCTCAACAATAAGGACTGCCCGGTGGCCCGGGGCTAGCGTGAGAGACACTTGGGACAGTAGACCGCATCAGTACTGGCCCGATTGGGACAGTGCTTTAGTGTCTTGTCACTAACATTTAACTTGTCTGTAACTATTTGTCAATTGCGTGCATTTTAAGTTTGTGCTTTTAAGTCTTTACACACTACATTCTCTGTAATGTCGTAAACAACATATTATTTTCCGGTTCCTCTTATCTGATTGATTTGACCCTGCAAATTTTTTTGTAACCTGGTAACAAACAGTAAAGCGTACAAACAGCAACATGGCGTCTACATCAAATTATAAGGCTAAAAGAAAATGTCTGTTTCTAACGTCTTGGCAGTAGACATTTACATGGGAACAACACGACAAAATAAAAATTAAGTGAGCGAGTTTGCCGTCAGTTTGACAAGTCAGCCACCTTTTGTTAAATAATTTCAAACCGCAATAAAATACCTCCACATTTTCCATACTGCTCTTTTTGTTTGCATAACACTTTTATTTACTTTTTTTTTTTTTAAGTATTGAAATTCTAGATTCACAGACTTTATTTTTGACACATTATTTAAAATATGTGGCTAAAAAATAGCTATTAACTTTCCTTTTTTTCTTGGTGGGGCCAGTGAAAATTTTGGCAGGGCAAGTAAAAATCTAAACCACTTGCCCGATCGGACCAGTAGAAAAAATCCTTAGCGTTGAACCCTGCATGAACACCAATATGGACAATGTGAGCAGTGATGCCACTTCTGAGCAATTGGACCGGACCGTATAGACCATTTTGAGGGATGTAAACAATAGCAGTGGTCCCAACATGTTTTCTGCTTTACATTTTCATTTCCATAGCTTCCAAGAATCCAAAAAGGTCCACATATTGATAAATAATGTTATGGCAGCTGTTTTGATGTTAATTTATGATTAAATCGCCTCTTGTTGCAGTATAGTGTGCACATGTATTGTGAGGTTTGGCTTTAAATCCCATACAATGTTAGATGGTACCATACTGAAAATGCATGGGAATTGCAAAGAAGTATGCCTGGTCTTAGACGAGTATTGTCCTTGCATTTTGTATTCAAAAAAGGCTGTCGCAACTTCACTGTGATTATATTAACTCTCATACACTTTAACTTCAGCATGCTTCTACAGCCATTAAGTGTAAGCTTGTGAGAACATAAAAAAGTAACTCACTGATTCTGTTGCAGGTGTGAAGTACGAATATGGCTGCTTTTTTGAGCTCTTCATCACTGGTTTCAGTGAGCAGTGTAATTATAATAGGTAAACCCCCTGCTGACAACAACTGCGACTGCTGTTCTACTGCACAGATAAAAAAACAGACTGACTAATTACAACAATATACAAAAAAACAGGCAAAAACAATGTTATTTATAACTGAAGTGTAAAAGCAGCCGTTTGAGAAAATGCTGTGAAGATAAGGATCCTGAAGTGAGAATCAGGACCAACTGTAATTAATAAACAAATATACAATTCATATAATTTATTTTTTTTATTTCATGTTGAAATTATTTCAAATAAACTAATTTTCTTTTTTTTTTTCTTACTTAGATTTTTTTTTTTTTTGTTTCTCGTCCAAAAACTAAATCCTAAAATCAAGAAGAATTTTCTAGACAAGTAAAAAATGTTTTTCTGATTTCAGAAATAACTAGTAAAAACTAATTGCGTTTCTCCTTAATTCAGGCAAAATCATCTGCCAGTGGGATTAGCAAAATAATATGAAAACACATTTATTTTACTTTTGACATTGGCAGATTTATTTAGCTTGTTTTAAGATAAAACGTGTTTAAAATTGACTTGTTCATTACGAAATCAAGACCAAAAAAAATGCTTCTTAATTTAAGATTTTTTTTGATATTTGGATTAAAAACAAGAAAAAAAAATCTGGAACAAATCTGTACCTTGAGTCAGCTAAGCTAAAGATCAGAAAGTTGTTAAGAAGGATTAAATGAAAAGACATGAATTTTAGCCAAAAGCTCACTTTACAAGCAATATATTGTGGTCAGTATTGCTGGCACTTGTATATGTATAGAAATTAATAATTTGTATACTCCTATATAGAATAGTATTTACAATAGAATAGAATTAAATATAGAATTTACAATGTAAATATATTTTGCTAAATTTCTAACTTACCAAGAAACAAATTTTTTGCATTAGAAGTTGTTACCAGTGTAGATACCTGCAAATTTTACTTAGAAATACTAAGTTTATCTTTCATAGTGCAGAACTTCATTTTTGTACTTGGAAGAATATAAGACATTTTGCCATGGTATGTTACCAAAAACTGACCACAGGCATCTGTGAGGTGTCCAGTCGTTAACACCACAGCGAGCTGATCTTGTGGATCAAGGTTTGGGCTGGATAACAGACGCAGCAGTCCTGGGATAACCCTCAGCTTTGATAAAGAAGATCCCAACAGCTCTGAGACAGAAAGAGAAAGGAAACTGAAAACCCTAATCAACCCAGTATTATATTTGGGGTTATATTGGGGTGTGCATGCATGTGTCTTACCGTTATTAGAGATGCAGGCAGAAAGTGTTTTAGTGATTATCGTAGCCATCTTACAAACAGAAGCACTGTGTGTAGACTGAGATAAAACTCGGGTAAGAGTGTCTGAGAGTGAATCCAGGCCTCCCACTGACACAAAATATTCCTGAGCACAGGCTGAAAAATACAGATTCACATGAGATGAGAAAATGAGCACGTAAGATGGAGTTATTTTGTTGATGTTCTTACGATTGTTTGCCACAGTCATGCCAATAAATGAGCATAAGGGTTGTGCCAGCTCTGCCCTGGGTAATGCCACTTCTTGCAGCCAGGGCTTTATCTCAGGAAAAACACTCATACACACGTTCTGATTCTCCTCTGTGAAATAAAAACAAACAGTTTGTGAAAATAATATATGTATTTGCACACACACACACACACACACACACACACACACACACACACACACACACACACACACACACACACACACACACACATATATACCCCACACACAGGGGTTGGACAATGAAACTAAAATGTCATTAGCATGAGCAGCCAATAGTGCTCCTATGGCCTGCACAATAACCAGACCTAAATATTATTGAGCTACTTTGGGGTGACCTGGCCACTACTCTCCAAAAAGAATGCCTCAAAATCCATCTAGCCACTGTGCAGGACTTAGTATTATTCCCAAGACGAATTGAAGCTTTACTGGTCACAAAAAGAGACCCTACACCAAACTAATGACTTATTGTGGTCTAAAACCAGACACTTCACTTTCATTGTCCAACCCCTGTATATATAGGTGTATGTGTAAACAATGGTAAAGGGGTAGAAAGATGACCGTACCATTTTGAGGGTTGTTGACAGAGCCACAGAGCGCACTAGACACAGTGGTCCACAACTGCAGCTGCTCATAAGACTCACCAGGAACTGGAAAATTCTGCCTAAAGAGTGGCATAAAGAAAACAAATAGAATCTGGTTGTTAAGCAAAAGGGTAATATTTTAAATGGGTGTTCATATGCTTTTCTGTATTTGAAGATTCACTTCAATAAAACACCAGAAAGTATTTGAAATACATTCACATCTTAGTGTTTATCAACTGTTTGAGAATGTTTTCATTCATCCAGGAATGCACTGTCTTAGAGTGTTAAAAGGATAAAGCAAAATAAATTGATTTAGTTAACATCACACATTTAAACTGATTGCTATTGATGCCAAAAAGTTAAACATTATCTGAATATTATGCATACCTGAACAATCGGAGTAAGGCTTCAATACACCTGGAGGTCTTAGCAAGAGTCTGTCCACATCCTAGAACGCAAAACACACATACAGTTAAAGGTAAATGGATTAACGCTCCTGTGAAATTTTAATTCTTTTTCAAATATTTCTCAAGTGATGTTTAACTGAGCAAGGACATTTTTATAATTATTATAATTATGTTATTCTGGAGAAAGTCTTAATTCTTTCGTTTGACTGCAGTAAAATCAGTTTCATTTATTAATTTTTAAATGATTTTTTAAGGTCAGTATTATTAGCCCCCTTAAGAAATATTTCTAATAAATGTAATATTTCTAATTCTAATATAATTTCTATTGATCTAATAGGAACAGAACAAACCACTGTTGTTCAGTGGTTTGCTTGATTAAAGTAACTTGCCTAGTTAATCTAATTAACATAGTAAATTGCACTTTTAGCTAAATACTAGTATCTTAAAAAATAACTAGTAGAATATTATGCACTGTCATAAAGGCAAAGACAAAATAAAATAGTTATCAGAAAATAATAAGTAAAAATCTTATTTTTGCTCAGATGTTTTTATTAAAATATAATTTATTAAAACAACAACTTATAAGAACTGTAATTTAGAAAGAAATTATGAAACTATTATATTTAAAATGTATTTCTCTCCATTAAACAGCACTTTTACAATAACAAAAGATCATTTTGCCTTCAACAGTACACACAATTGTGAAATAATAATCTGACCAGACAACCTGTCCAACTTTGAAAAAAACATACACATAGAAATGGCCTCTGAGTTTTGACACAAGTTTTATGGTGAGACTTACTGTTGTTGGCAACCAATACAGACAGCATGTACACTGCGACTCTTTTCTCCGTCAGAGGCATTTCCTGTTCCAGATGCTGCACAAAGTCTTGAAACATCTCTTCTCTACACAGTGCCTGTTTACAGCTCTCTGCAGGAGAAAATATGTTTGTAATCAGACATGTTTGTTTTCATTTCATGCCAAAAGCCAGAGTCATTCCAATATATACTCTTTCTGAATATTTAAAAAGTGAAAAATGGATCTAAAAACTAAAAAACGTGTCTGAAAACATGGCACTTTTTTTTATTTTATGCAATAAAAATTAAAATATTCATTTTTATTTTAAATTTGGAGGACTTATCATCTGTTGCTAATAAAATAAAACAAAAATACGCTGCACTCAGACACATAGCGTAAATACATAAGAAATTATTTGAATTATTTGAAAGTGCTCTCTTAACTGTTTCCATATGTAACCAAACACATACCATGCAGTTCAGCCAAAGATGCAAGTGTAAATAGTGCAGTCTCTTTAACTTGAGAGAAAGTACTGGATTTTGATAGGTTATAGATGAAAGAAATGCCTCCGATCTCTCTGAGGAACTCAACATACTGATCTGAAATACAAAAAAACACTCACTAAACTGCACAATAGTATATTTAATTTTATGTTTGTGTAAGAAAAGTTGTATTTCTGTTTGATTTGATTATATTTTGAGCTGTAAAGCAAACCATTTTGCTTGCAGATTGAGATGATAGTGAGAAGAGCTTGTTTCTGTGAGCCAGGCCATTTCATCTGGTATTTCAGACATTCCAGCAAAAGACGCAAATCTGTCTTGGTAGCTGGAAATGTGAAATCATTCAGCTTGGAAAGCAAAATACACCACTGGATCTGTACAATTGATGAGTATTGTGCAATACAATATAATATACACTCACCGGCCACTTTATAAGGTACACCTGTCCAATTGCTTGCTAACACAAATTTCTAACCAGACAATTACATGGCAGCAACTCAAAGCATTAAGACATGTATACATGGTCAAGACGGTCTGCTGCTGTTCAAACTAAGCATCACAATAGGGAAGAAAGAGGATTTACTGTAAGTGACTTTGAATGTGACATGGTTATTAATGTCAGACGGGCTGGTCTGAGTATTTCAGAAACTGCTGATCTACTGGGATTTTCAGGCACAACCATCTCTAGGGTTTACAGAGAATGGTCTGAAAAAAAAAGTAGAAAAAAAAATCCAGTGAGCGGCAGTTCTGTGGGTGCAAATGCCTTGCCGATGTCAGAGGAGAATGGCCAGACTGGTTCCAGTTGATAGAAAGGCAACAGTATCTCAAATAACCACTCGTTACAACTGAGGTATGCAGAAGAGCATCTCTGAACGCACAACACGTCCAAGTTTAAGCAGATATGTTACAGCAGCAGAAGACCACACTGGGTGCCGCTCCTGTCAGCTAAGAACAGGAAACTGAGGCTGCAATTTGCATAGGGTCACCAAAATTAAACAATAGAAGATTGGAAAACATTGCCTGGTCTGATGAGTCTTGATTTCTGCTGCGACATTTGGATGGTCAGGCCAGAATTTGGTCAGAGTATTGTTGCTGACCAAGTCCATCCCTTTATGACCACAGTGGACCCATCTTCTGATGGCTACTTCCAGCAGGATAAAGCTGCAGTCACACTGCACTTTTCTCCCCATAGACTTTCATTAATATGCACGCGAATGCGTCAGAGCGGAAACGTAAGGTCATGCGGCAAGTTTCGCAGTTTGCTGCGTTGTAAAGTTCAAGCTTGAACTCTGACCTGCGAAATCACATCATATGATTGCGTGAGACCAACCAAGAATCAAAACATGACCTCTATATACAGTAATTTAAAACATGGACCAATCGCTCGCTTTTTTTAAATGTCTAATCATCTTGTTTAATCCCACCTCTTTTCACAGCGCTGTATGACAGAATTTCGCAAGCTCAAACTCCAGTGTGACCGCACCATGTTATAAACCGCGAATCATCTCAGACTGGATTCTTGAACATGACAATAAGTTTACTCAAATGGCCTCCACAGTCACCAGAGCTCAATCCAATAGAGCACCTTTGTGATGTGGTGGAACGGGAGATTCACATCATTAATGTACAGCTGACAAATCCGCAGCAACTGTGTGATTCTATCATGTTAATATGGACCAAAAAATCTGAGGAATATTTCCAGTACCTTATTGTTGAAAGGCAAAAGTGTGTCTAACCCGGTACTATTCACCTAATAAAGTGGCCAGTGAGTGTATATAACATAAATATATATATATATATATATAAAGTTAAACATTGCAAAAAACTTAAAACCAATTTTAAGCGCATTTTAACAAAAATAAACCAGAAAACTTATTGTTAAAAACTTACTAGAAATGGAAACATTAAAGTTAACCTCATGATGATATTTATTAGTCATAAAAACATTTTAAAAATTCTAGTGCACACAACTACGTTGTCAATAAATAAAATTATTTGCAAAGATGTTTCCCGTGTGATATGCAAGGTCATTGTAAATATGTAATAGAGTCATTGTGTAATATTGTTAATTAATGTGCTGATTTGTTTAATTTGCCATAACTCTCCCTTCTAATTGTACGTTACATAATATGATGCTGACCTTCCATTTTTCATTTTCGTACTGATCAGCTAATGTTTTCCATCGAAGTGTCACTAAGTTACCCTGCAAAAAAAAAAAAACATCACAAATGTTGTTATAATAATATCGTAATGTTACACTGAAAATAAACAACAATATACTTCTTTTTAATTTTACGATTAACGTTACCTTTACACCAACTATCCAAGTCCTAAAATATTTACGAAACAATCTTAATACATAGATTCAAGATTGTTAGCAGTGCCAAATGAGACCACAGTCGTCGAAATCCCACAATTTCGTAGCATTTGTTGTTTTATGATGGACTAACGGCAGCTCAACGGAAGAATTTAAATTCCCGCCTCGCTTTGGAATCGCCTCGTGGTTTGAGACGTGAAAACGGATTGGTTCATTAAGAATCGATTTTATTAGGCATTAATTCGTTTATACAATTTATTTTTGATGTATGGTATGCCTCTACGGTTAGTTTGGATACTAAAGAAATGTTTTTTTTAGTCTCTGGAGAAATCTATGAAGTAAATACATGACTGAAGGGGGCGCTGGTGGCTGTACGTTTCCACACCGCAGGACGTAGAAGAAGACATTTCACCGAGCAGTGCCAGGTGGGTGTGTGTATTGACTCAGCATTTACTCTTATTAATACTGCATTTAGAAGAAATTGTTGCACTGACTATTATAAAATACACGTTCTCTTACGCAAGTATGCAGAAAAATACAATTAAATTGTTAAACGAAACGATAAATGTTTCAATTCTTACGAAAGCCGGCTGGTTAGCTTGTTAAGCTAGCATGTTTCATTCTGTAATAATAGTTTAAAACAGTAATTTGTGTTTGTATGCATGTACATGTTTATTATTTTGAACTTCGCGGATATGAGGAAGCTATGATGTTTTTACTTTGCAAATATGATTAACGTACTTTCACTAAACATTTACATGATCTATGAGTATTCCAGAAGATTTTGTAATTCTAAATTAATCTAAACATTTTCTTATTAACTTTCTTATTAATTTTTACTACATTTAAGTAGTAATACTCTTAATACTGAATTTTGAAGAAATTGTTTCACTGACAATTACAAAATACAGCTTCTGTTACGCCAATATGCAGACAAATAGATTTAAATTGTAAAATAAATCAATAAATCAGTCAATATACAGGTAAGTCGACATACTGTAATAATGGTTTAAAACAATAATTTGTCTTTATATGCATGTGCATGTTTCTTTTGACCCTAACTTATTTGAAAAAGCTATATCATTACTATGCAAATATGGTCAACGTAGATCAGGAGTGTCAAAACTTGGTCCTGGAGGGCCGTTGTCTAGTTGAGTTTAGCTCCAACCCTAATCAAACTCTTACTAACTAGATATACTAGAAACTTCCTGGCAGGTGGGTTGAAGTAAGTTGGAGATAAACTCTCCAGGACACCGGCCCTCCAGGACCAAGTTTGGACACCATTGACATAGATATTTACACTAAAGAATTTACTTGATCTATGAGTATTTCAGAGGATTATTTAACTAATAATTAATTTGAACATCTTATTAATTGTTTTAGTATTTCTTTACTACATTTACTTTTATTAATACTGAATTTTGAAGAAATTGTTCCACTGACAATTACAAAATACAGCTAATGTCACGCAAATATGCAGACAAATAGATTTCAATTGTAAAATGAACCAATAAATCAATCAGTTTACATGGAAGCCGGCAGGTTTCAAACTATAATAATGGTTTAAAACAATAGTTTGTGTTTGTATGCATGTACATGTTTATTAATTTGACCCTCACAAATATAGCTATAATGTTATTACTATGCAGATATGGTCAACATATATAGATACACTTAATCATTTACTTGATCTATGATTATTTCAGAAGATTATGTATTATGTACTATTCATTTTCTTAATTTTTGTCATATGACTTGAGTCTGTTGGTTTTACATTTATGCTTTTAGCTTATGTTATTATCCAAAGTGACACACAAACGAGATTCAAGATTTATTAGACTGTTAAAATAGCAAGCAACAAGAATTGCATTGAATGAACAAAAATTGATTTGATGTGCATTTACTGACGGGTAAAGTTGGTTTTATATCCGCACATTCTGACTTTTTCCTTAATAAAATTTCAGAAACGTATTCTTTTCAAATTCTGAATGGGGAAATTATATTAGCAGCCAATGACTATCAAAGTACAACATTGTTCAGTCAATTAAACAGTGCTATTGTTGTTTTGAAGTCATACTTGCATGTGATTTCAGACCCAATATTCAAAGTAGCGTTGTAAACAATATATCGACTTTGACAGGTTTTCACTGTTCAAAAAGGAACAAATATGTGAATATAAAACCTACTTTACCTCAATCATTTACTGTGATTTTTTTTTCTATCAGTTTAAGATTAATCATTGTAGCCTCGCATTGTGTTTTCACAGATGCTGGAGTTGTAGACTGCTTCAGACACTGCATCCAGGCAGTGATGTCTGGTTATTTGCGCTCAGCGCTCCTCTTAGGCACTAGAGGAAGACATCTGTCCAGTTCCTTTGCAGCCAGTCAACATGTTTTACCTGATGTGGCATGTAGAGCCCTCCTTTTCTCTTCTCCAGCACGGAGTTTCTCCTCTCGTGGTGGTCGATCAGATGGAAGCTCAGGGCAGGAAGGAGAGAACAGACTGCATCCTCCAAGACATGAAATGGACTTTCAGATGAGCCGGCTGCAGATCAATGCAGTCCTGCGTGCCAATGAACAATCTGTTCGTGTGCCAGAGTTCGATGGCCGTGGTGGTCCCAGTCCGGTGCTGAGGTTCGAAAGTAACCAACTTCCAGCCAACACCCCGCTTGAGGACCGGCGCAGCAGTGCCAGCAGCTTGCAGACTCGTAGCATGCTTTTCGGTGTGTTTGATGGACACGGCGGACACGCGTGTGCTCAAGCGGTCAGCGAGCGTTTGCCCTATTACATTTCTGTAGCGATGATGGCAGAGTCTGTCCTGGAGGATCTAGAAGCTGCCATGGAGACCTCACGCCCCGTTCCGCCTATCCTGCAGTGGTATAAACACCACAATGACTATAACTACAGGGAGTCTGCAGCTCTCTATGTTGATCATTTGCGTGTTTTTTGGCAGGAGCTTCTGGCAAGTGAAGAGCACGGTGACGGCATGCGTCCTGCAGATGCTCTCAG